CTCTAATGATTTTTTTTTTTTTTTTTTTTTTTGCTGTACAGAAACTCTGGAGTTTAATTAGGTCCCATTTGTCTATTTTGGCTTTTGTTGCCATTGCTTTTGGTGTTTTAGTCATGAAGTCCTTGCCTATGCCTATGTCCTGAATGGTTTTGCCTAGGTTTTCTTCTAGGGTTTTTATGGTATTAGGTCTTATGTTTAAATCCTTAATCCATCTGGAATTAATTTTAGTGTAAGGTGTCAGGAAGGGGTCCAGTTTTTGCTTTTGGTGCTCTACACATTCAGAGAAACTTCTCTAGTAACAAACTATAGAAATGATCCCTGAAAGTGTAGTCTTAGCTAATGAATTTCTAAATATACAATTTGACCTGCTACATTTAAACTAAGTAATTAATTAAATACATGACAAATAATCCAAGTTAATATCTAAAGTCATGATATTTTCAAAGTTACAGTTTTTTTCTTAATCTGTCAAGAATTTCAGTGCTAAATTGATCTTAATTTAAAAAAAAATAATATTTAGGTAACTTTCTGATTACTCAGAATAGTTCAGAACTGTAACTCGTGCTCCTGTTTGGTGGTATTTTTCTGCCTGTGCACTCTATAATTGTGACTTGTTCAAGGGTGCTAAGAAGAGAGAAGCTGATGTGACTGATGTTGGAAGGTGAGGAATTCATCCATAGTGAAAGAAATATCCCTGAAGGCAGGGGTCTCCAACCCCCGGGCCGTGGACCCACACTGGTCAGATAGGTGGCAGTATCAGATTCTTACAGAAGCACAAAGCCTAGGGTGAACTGCGCATGCAAGGGATCTAGTTGCGTGCTCCTTAAGAGAATCTAATGCCTGATGATCCAGGTAGAACAGTTTCATCCCGAAACCATTCCCCTGCCTCCGTGGAAAAATTGTCTTTCACGAAACTGGTCCCAGGTGCCAAAAACGCTGGGGCCCGCTGCCTTAGGGCATGTCCATTTCCTGCTCCCAGTTGCCCTTGAAGTGGTCTTTATTGTCCTAGCTTTCTCTCCCCAGCCTCCTCTTCCTGCTGGCCTATCCCTCACTGGCTCTGGGTCCTGGGCCTCTGCCCAGGCCTGAGTCCATGTGCTCAGAAAAGGTGTGATTTTATCCTTCTGGAGTGCTGGTGTTCACGTGACTGTCCTGTGAAAGACCAGGGCAAGAGTCATCTGTTTTCTATTAAATTTTGATGACTTTTGATACACAGAGGACACCGAGAGAGAGGCAGATCCAGCTGGATGCGCAGGTAAAATAGAACCCAAAAGCAGTACAGGAAGAGAGATGTGAAGATATCATGGGTGAGTCTGATTCTGCTATCATTTTATTTAGATCTATGGTAAAATCTATTGCAAGGCAATTTCTTCTCTTTTACTTAGCTCTTTAAAAAACATTTTAAAAAATGAGACTATATCTAATAGTGCTGTTGACTTTTTATACATCAAGATTTAAATTATAATGACTATTTTTCTTGTTATCATCAACAAATTCACCATTAACTGAGAGTCCACAGGGTAAACACCAGTGAGTTTTCTAGTTTTCATTAGCGTTGACACATGGTAATAAAATCATTTATTGAAAAAATTTATGAATGAGTGAAAAAGCACAATCTGAAAGTGCTCACCTATTCCAAAAGCATTCATTGAAACAATGTTTTCATTCACTGGTAAAAAGTAGCAATGGGACTGTTTCTCATGGATTCATTTATATTGAATGGTGCTCATAATGTATATGTAGTATTTATGATACATATGTACATATGTTTACATCAGCTTATGTAAACAAATGAGAACCAAAAGCAAATTTAAATGTGTACAAATATTTGCAAAACACCAAAAACATAAAAGCAGGGGCAGCTCAAATTCTAAAGAAGACACATGCACAATAAAATATGTCACTTAAAAACATAAGAAAGAGACAATCTCTTTTTCATTCTCAGAGCTTTATTTAATATCAAGGCAGAGTTCAGCAGTTTGGCTTTTTCTTTACAGTTGGAATGTGTGTTCCAAGCCTTTTTTTATTTTAATGTGATTTTGGCTGAAAGTCCCTCAAATTCTAATATTCGAGCCCTATAAGCATTATTTTACTCTTGTGTCCCACTGAGCAACCTCAGAAAAAATAATTTTTGGCAACTGATCTTTACGGAAAATGAAATGATTGCTATTTTTTTTTTTTTTCATTTCTCTCTGGATTTCTCAAATAAGCCTGCCAATATTGAGTGAAAGCACTTTGGAAAGTAGTATCTTGGATATCAGAAAATAAATATTATGGATTCTCCCCTGCAAGTTTTACTCAGTATTTCTGAAAGAAAAGCTTTCACTCACCTATTTTGACTGTACATGTGGCTATGCTCCCTGGCTTCAGAATTCCTTCTATAGGAAGGAATTAATCATCGATTATTGTACTAAAATAGATGTGAGTATTTACTCTTAGATCAATCAAAAAGTACTATCTGAGCTCAATTACTTTCATGCATATATACATTCTGGTGTGAAGGCTGATTCAGTGTCTTAATAAAGTTGGCAGGAAGTAATCTGAAAAGCTCTCCAAAGGGAAGAAGTTAAGAAGAGTAAAAAAGGATTATTTTATGAGCTTACCCAAATTTCATAGCAAATGCTTGCCAAACTGCATGAATCTCACTAAACCCCTTTGGTGTTAAGAGTTTTAGTCAGCACATGCCCAGGCCATTTGCATCCTAGGAAACAAATGTGGAGCACATGTTCTGAAACAAGTTAATGTGAGGGCAGCCTGGACTCCAGAGCCAAGAATCTGAATCTTGGCTGGAAACAACAGAGGGTTAAAAAAAACTCTACATCTAGAAAGAGAGCATTTGTCTTTATCATCTACATTCTTTTTTTCTCTTTTGAAACGTGTGAAATCAGTTTAATGAATGAGAGGAGCATGCCATGTTGCAGTGCTAAGTCATAGCAGTTTGGCTGCATGTGTTAACCATGTGACACATTTCGTAAAATAGAAAGTACTGTTGCACTTTCAACAGTAACTGAAGCCATAAGGCAAAGTTTCTAGTTTTATTTATGGCTCAATTATCAGGCCAGTGGATTGAATGCTAAGACAAAATAAAACAAAAAGTATTCATAGCTATGGATATGTTACCTGTTCTAGTTCACCTCCAAAGTAAGAAAACATTAAAACTTAGAAAGACTTTAAGTATGGTATATTTTTCTTAAATTTGATAGAAGAGGTGATGCTAGAATTTTTTAATGATAGATAACGACATTTTGTTAGAATATTTAATTGGGAAATCTTACCACACAGTAAAAATCGCCTTACTATGTACGTTGAAATCTCAAATAATCTTGTATACATTTGTATGTAAAATTAAAAGGTAAAAAAGAGGAAGTTTTTTTTTCTAGTTTATTTCACTCAAAGAATATTTAAGCAATATTGTAGGTGGAATATTATCTTACTGACTAATTCAGCTGGATATTACCTCTTTTGCATTGTATGATTAGGTATATTAGAATTAGTGGTTTGAATAATGCGTATTGCTAATCAACCTAAGATCACAGTTTGTTTCCCCTTTGAACAAGTAACATTCACTGTGCTCCATTATGTGAGCAACAACATGGAGTACTGGTATAAAGTTAGGGAGACCTGGGTGTTAATTCTAGCTGAGTCATATGCTACTTCTGTGAAGTTGGGCAAGTTACTTGATGCTGAAGCCTCACTTTTCTCCTTTGAAAATGGGAATGATACTACTGCCTACCTTCTGGGATTGCAGTGGTGAAGATTAAATCAGGTAATGTGTCAAGCACTCAGCCAGCACTCAATAAATGTTAGTTATTCTCCCTCATGGTGAACAGTGTAAGACTGAATGATTAAAAACAAAGTAACTCAAGGGGCATGCATTGCTGAATGGGAATGTCTTCACACTTTGTGAACAATGAACTTACATACATAAGTAGAGGCATGGCCAAGGTTAAACAAAAGTGACCTCTACCTTCCCATTGTATCACACAATCCCCTTCCCTCATTTCTTTCCTGCCAGTTTGAATCTCAGTGATCTAAATTTGCTTTCCTCCAAAACAGCTCAAAACAAACAAAACAAAAATAGAATAAATATGGATTGAGAAAAAGAGACAAACTCTGGTCCCAATCTCTGGTAATGCTGGGTCCAATATAATTATATCAAATTCAATGTAGTTTTTACCCTTTAATTTAAAATAAAATAATTATATGAAGACACATCTACTTATACTAGAATGTTTATAGTCAATGGAAATATTCAATTTTTTGTGTTAATTTTTTTACATGGTAATGAGTTGCTATGAAATCCACAGAAAATGTCATTTTTTATTTTTACATAGAACAATGACAAATGGTTACTCAGAAGTTTACTGAGTATAAATGACACATTTTTCCAAGTAATAACACTTAGTGGATTTGATACAGCAATTTATTAGAAATACAGAAATGTGGATAACAAGAGGCACAATTACATCA